CGTGTTTTCAACCCAAGTATTTGTGACCATTTACAGCCAATGATAGTGATGACAAATCAGCAAACCACATTGGTCCACTAATAAGTCCAACTTGCGTAGATTGAGGATTCAGAGCTCTGAACCAGTCGTTTCGATGCCTCCGAGTAGGTGAGTATACAAAGTGCTCATTAGCATTTCTGCAGCGTGAGATATTTAGAGGGGTGGGGAGAGTAAGTGTTTTTTGGTGCCTTGGCTACAGAGTCGAGAGAGCCTGACATTTGCTCACCGGGGCCTTAGTCATCCTGTGGCGAAAGGGCGCTTGGGTGGGTTCGTCTTCAAAAGTACATCAACTACTCATCGCTCTGGGGTCAGTATCAGATGAGCAAAAGGATGCCAACTGAAGGGCCTTTCGGTGTTGGCAGCGTCAGCGGTCAGGTCCTCTTGGAGAGCGTCTCTGAGGCAGGTGAGCTTTGATGCTTTTGCCACCGTCCACGATTCTTCCGTCAAATGAGTCCCAATATCTCCCTTGACGACACCACAGACCGACATTTCAGTCATTCTCCCCTTCCACGTTGGTTTTCGAGAGCGCCATTAGGTCTGATTTAAGAGCTGTAGTCGCCATATTTCGTTTAAGACAACAAAGGACTGTTAGTCTAATGCTCCCACAATGATTTGCGTAGATCTTCTTTCTGGGAAAATTGAACAATCATACTTTTACTGCCTCAACCGAAATTCTTGTATAAGATCTACTGCTAGCCTCGAAAATCTACTACTAAGCGTAAAATAAGTAATGCAGTTGATTTATATGGCAAATACAACGTGACCACATAAAGGCGAAATTGAAATTCACTTCTGCCCTGTGACCCAAGGGCATTTGGGGCAGTGTGACATAGTGGCTAACCTGACGAGACTATGCACTACTCTACCTCGACTCAGTTGTGAATGCCGCTGGGGATTAATCCTCACCTTAAATGAAATAGGGGGAATACATCTCTCGTATACTTCACGCAATCGACTGCCAGAGATCCGGTTGACTGCGAAGGTCAGCTCACAACTTTGGAGGTGAGAGGATGCAGGAAAATGCTTGTCTCTTTTTGGCCAGAGGGACCTTCATTTCGTATGAAAGTGCATGAAGAAGAGATTCGTTGGTCGAGAAAGATAAGAACTTGATCCATAGAAAAGTACTGTTAGGGGGACCTTCATTTCGTATGAAAGTGCATGAAGAAGAGATTCGTTGGTCGATCCAGATAACATTGTTAGAGGGACCTTCATTTCGTATGAAAGTGCATGAAGAAGAGATTCGTTGGTCGATCTAACCAAAAATTAACTTTGTTAGAGGGACCTTCATTTCGTATGAAAGTGCATGAAGAAGAGATTCGTTGGTCGATCTCCAGGACGGATGAAACTCGTTGTACTGCAGCCGGTTGGATTGTATAGGATATTCATGTTGACGCAGTCCACGAGACTTCCTCCCTCGTTTCGGGTGAAAACGTCCATATGATTA